TAAAAGCCTGAAGCCAGAAATCTGTATTACGTCTTGTAATGAAGAGATTTGAAAGTTCTTTTGAAGAAGTTGGAAAGAGGATAAAAAGTTGACGAAGTATTATTTGGACTATGTAGATGTCTGCAAACTCTGTTTGGGGTCTAGGACTCCGTTGAGGTAGATCGTCTTTGAACACATCACTCAAAAAGTACAATTGCTAAATTGTTTCATTCTGAGTAGTTATTATATTTTGCTTATACAGCAACACTAGTGTTGAAGTGCAGTGTTCAAAGGACAGTAATGCTGAAGAGACACTTAGAAATTTTCTCTTATGAGTAGTAATCTTGGAAGGCAAATTCTAGGTTGGTAAAATGACCTTGGAAATTCAATTTCTTTTGTTAGATTATGTGTAGGGAGTATAATAATGAAGCCAGAGTAATGTACAGTGGTTTATCTGGTCAACAACTGTTTGTATCTCAAGCATACACAGATAACTGACCCAGAGAAATTCATTTCATAGCATTTTATAACTTGCTTTTGCTTTGGAAGGCAAAACTGAAATGCTTGTGAAACAGTGTCTGCTTTATATTAGAAATACATGTCTCCAGACCTTCCTAAAATGAAAGCAAAATCCTCTGATATTTGCTGAACAGAGGAGGCTGTGTGACCTGCTGTCCATAAACCTCTCCAAAGAGCCAAGTCTGAGCACACGCTATTATGGCAAAATATTGGAAGAGCAACTGGTTTTCAGTTCAGTATCGAGTTGGAGTTTGAGAGGTTTCTTTTTTGGTTCTTTCAGTCATCCTGGTGATTTAAAATAATACATTTAGTGTAATTTAGTCTTTCAAAGCAATATTACTTATTAAAGTGGGAAGGTATTTTTTAAACGAACTGCTTCCTTATGTCAGAATGGAAATGAAATTTTCTTCCCTTGCTTTATTCGGCTCCTATTCATCCATATTAAAAGAATGAGACAAATGGATAAAATAGTTTGCAAATGGATCAAGTAGTTCAGTGCTGTTTTCTTGTCCTGCGTAATAGAAGTTGATACTGATATTTTGAATAACAAAGGCTTTTTCATTGTTTCTACTCTAGACAAGTCAGGTGCCGTTCTGCTTATTCTTAAGAAAAAAGAGATGGGCTGACTTTCCCAGAATCTGAACTAGGCTTGTAGATTGACAGCAAGTGAGGGATGTGTAGTGGACCAGTTGATAGTGTTACTTTTATGTCTTATCTAGGTTCTTAAGCAAGTGCCATTAAAGCTATGTGGTTTGTCAAATAATGTCATTCACAAACCAGAAAAAGCAGTATTTGCTGCTTCCCAAATGTTTCTATTAAGTTTGTATGATTATTACCAGGAATAAGACTTTGTACTCCATGTTTAGTGATGTCTCCTCCTAATCGCCAAATTGTAAGTAATGAAGAGCATGGCACCAAGTATTTATGATCTAATCTCATTCATATTTAGATGTCAACAGGCCATTAAATTTCACTGCTCTTATTGAAGTCCCAGGCTTGTTGAGGAAATCCTAGTCTGCCTTGTATTGATGTGCTTTTTCAAGAATACTGCCTGACCAAATCCTAGGCCAGGATACTGCAGCAGCAAGTGAGATAACTGAGCTGAGCAGGCCCAAACCTCAGACCAAACCAGACAAGCTCTTACCCTTCTAGAGCAGGGGCTGTCCCCTTGGGATCCCAGAAAGGATGCTCCTAACCGTGGTTTCAGAGTAACATTATCAAAATGAGAATTAGATTAGGCCTTACAAAATCAGACAGCAACCTATTCCACAAGCGCCTGTGCTATGAATCATCTAGTTTGCAACAGCTGAACAGTGCAGCAATAGCAGGAAACAATGAAATTAACCTCTTTCAGAGAAACACAACTAGGCCACAGCATGTATAGACTTTAACAGTCTTTGTGGAACTGGAGAAATGAATCCCGATGAAGATCAAACCTAGCAAATCCTAATTTAATATCAAAATTCAGTTGCTTTTGCTATCAGAACATTATGCAACTACTCTGTTTATACCTTGACCTCTTCTCTTTGAACCTATCGCTTAATTTTCATCACGTTTAACAGAAGAGCAGAAGTCCCAAGATTTCTGAAAACAGGCAGATGGATAGTGGGGAGGAGAGAGAGAGAGAGAGAGAAGGGAAAAAAAAAAAAAAAGACTGACATCAGAAGCTTACAGAGGAACCAGAGGATTCTCAGATGGCCATTATAGATAGTGTGTGACTAGGCGAAACTTCAGTTGGAGCTCCCATTTCACTTTGGATGTTACAATGAATCAACTGTGAGATAACAGTTACAGGAAAGTACTTTTAGGACCATTTATAGATTTGTTCCTGACGTTTACTTGTTAATTACATGGAATCATGATTACTGTCTGAGAGGAAACTGCGGTTTTCTTAAGACTAAGACTTTTTTTATTTATGTGAGTTAAAAAGATCATCTGTCCCGCCCTCCACTCTTACTCCCTCCTCCCTCCCCTCCATCCCATTTAAAGAAAGGCTTTTTCCAAATGGGATAGCTCTTGTGGTGAATTTTGATCCATCTCTAAGTATGTTGTACTTAGTTACATTTTGATTTATTTTTACTTAGCCTCATTTAGTGGTTCCTATTATATCCAGGATACTGTTATAACCTTCCAGAGAACCAAATGCAGTGTTACTGATGTTTGGGTTGCTTCAGGGCATAGCAAGTGTGTGAGTTTTTCAGCTGAGTTCCTGTCAAAGGAAGAATTGGAGCTATGAGATTAAGTAAATCTGTTATAGGATGATGATTCTACTACCTCTACTATTTGTTGTTCTCAGATGTACTGATAGAAGAAACAGTGTTCAAAAAAGCGCATCTTATCCACTTGAAGAGTGAGTTTGGGAATCATTAAAAGCCTCTTTTTCTATATTACTGAGCCCCATGATAAATTGTGAAAACCGGTAATTTCTTGGAGTGTGTCATGGTTTGGAGTTGAGGTGAGCTTTTGCTGAACTTATATATTGGGATGGCCAGTCTCCTACATGTTTGTGGAGAGGACATTATGGGTAGCTTTTATTCCACTTAAACTGTACTCAGATCTGAATTGCAAGATGTTGTAAAGAAATCACTTCCTCCAGTGCTTCTGGAACATCTGGAGTCTGAATCTGCGAAAGTCAAAATCAAGGGTAGCTCTAGCAGGGATAGTCTGAAAACAACAGCTTCTACAAAGGAGGGAAGATAATGAAGTTAAATAGAAAAGAAGGAGGTTTGTCTCTGCTTATGTTCTCTCACCCATGCTTTTGCCCTACACTTATCACCAACTTGAGAGGTGAGGAATATTTGCAGATTGTGAAATGGAAAGTCAGACACATGATCAGCTAAAGATAACCAGGAAGCTTTAGTAAAATTATATGTGCAACCATGTCAAGAGTTATAGCTTCCCTAGTGTGGAACTGACTGACTTTAGTCTCCTGTTCTAGATCTCAGACCTGGGTGAGTAACAGAGTGAAAGGAAAGCCATTTCCTTCTTTGGGCGTCATTTTATAATCAGTTGAAAAGGTAAAAAGAAAAAAAAAAAAAAAAAGTATTTCATCTTTTGGGTCATCATGCACTAGCTGCTTGGAGTGCTTGCCAAATAGTTGTACTCTCTTGTTGCAAGATCAAATGGTTTAAGACCATTTAAACCATTTGTGTTTTGGTTTGCTCACTGGAAGAAATATTGTCTGTATTTTTTCTCAATAAATCAGTTCTTATTTTCTATCCATCCACTTTTAAAAAGTGCTGATTTACCTGCATAAATTGTTCAAATGCAGTCTTTGTCACTCTTATTTCCTCTTTTTCTTTCTTGTTTAGCATTGGTTAAATACTGCTTTTTCAGTTTGAATGCAGTAGCTATACCATAAGCATGTAGTAATACTTTTGATTTTTATTTAGCTGAAATCTTTCTTGAAGTATTTCTAACTTACTGTTATTTTATAAACTCAGGAAATTGTGTAGGAAATGCTTTTGCAGCATTGTATCAACAGTATAGCAAATACTCATGTAAGAGCTTAAAGGAGGAGAAGACTAATAGAAAAAGAGCAAGTTTCACCCTCTTGTTGTCACAGTTCTCTTCAGCACCACAATGTGTAGTATCTGAGGAGGCTCCCTGACCATCAGGCACCATCATGGTTATGTCCAGGTGCTAGGTCCAGCAGGGGGTTTGATGACACCTGCTGTCAAGTCCTCCTGCCTCTCCTGTTGTCCATAGATCAACCTGTGCAGGTTTTGGGGAAAGCTTGCTCGAGCTAATGGCCTTCAGAGTCTCCACCTGCCCCGTCTCTGTGTGTTATCAGGAAGCCTGGCTGTTCTGTATCCCCAGTTCTGGGTGTCAGCACAGTCATGCCCATGGCACGTGTGTGTGCAGGTCTTTGTGATGAGCTAGTCTGGCTGCCCTGAACATAAGCTATTCCGAGAGCCATTTCCCTACTGTATTTTCTTTTTGATACCTTCCTGTTCCTTTCATACCATCTTAGCCTTGCTATTCCCTACAGTTAGAGTTATGTTGTTCTATTTGAAAAGTGCCAGTACCCTTTTTAATAATGGTGTACATGTGAAATAAGTATTAAATTTTAAGGTTAATTCTCAAACAAAATGTAATTAAGCTTGTCACAACTTTCCTGCAAGATGTGAGAACTTTGCCCAAGGTGAGTCTTCAATTTTGCAAATTGCTCATAAGTAAATTATGTTGATAATTTACTGCAATTTACTGTAGCATGACATGGGAAAAGATTTAACCTTTGGAGATTGACATGGTCGCTAATGTTGTGTTTTGATATAAGTCTAATCTCTGAAGTTAATTAGAGGATTTAATTTAATTACATAGGGCAGATGTAGTATGCTTTGATTGCAAAATTGCAAGGATGTTTGTGTCCGTTTCTAGATGATGGTGTACTAGGAGATATTATGGCTCCATAGTATTAGGATTTAATAGAATAAAATCCTGATACAGCCATAAGTACAACAACTTGGTGAATGACAGTATTTCTTTCTGTCCCTTAACAGTTTCAAAGAACATTTGAATCACTAAGAAATGTGTCCAGTAAAGCTGATCTACAGAAAACTTATCAGAAGTTTCAAAAAGATCTGGAAAATCTTGATTATTTGGCATACAAACGTCAACAGGTAAGAATAGAAACTTTGTAGGAAGACAGAATACTAGCTATAAACACAACACATGCGAAAAAGTGATACATCTCTCATACCATTGTTTCCACACAGTTATATCCTTCATGTAATATGATATTACATATCGTATTAAGGTCAGGTAAGCCACAGGAAAGGTGGAAATAATTTTTAATGCTAATTGTATTGGAGTGCTTTTTCCACTTCTGACCAGGTTGCTCTGTTTTACAGAAAGATGCATAAAACAAGTAGGTGAATCTTAAACTTGGCAGACTATTAAATATTGCATTAACACATAACAAAGTGGTTTTTTAGGTTAAAGGACCTAAAATATTTGGATTTTTTTGGTTTGAAAAATGAGCTACATCCATAGAAATCAATGAAATCAAATACTGGCTGTACATGCACATCGCTGGAGATTAGTTCTTTAGAAGAGGACTTAAAAGATTAAATCTTGATGCAATCTAGTCTTTTAGGTTAGTCCTACTTGATGTCACTTCTGCATGATTTTTGTGAAAATGTCTGTTCTTGTAATAGATTTTCACTTATTTTTGTATTCTTGGGGAAACAAGGCTTTGTCTTTTCCACGGGAATTTAGCCCATTTCATGTGTGTGCTGTGTGTGGAGGTGGGAGGGTTTTGTTTGCTGTGTATCTGAGTTGTCACTAGGTGTCAGCGTTATCAAACCCTTCCTTGGCTTGAGGGTCGCTCACTTCCAGTCTGTTTACATCAGCTAATTGATTAGACTGTTAGAAAATTAGTAAAGGGCTGAGACGCAGATGGTATCTGAACATGGCAATTTCTTGTTCGTGAGTTAAGGAGGCCAAGGAGCAATTTGCTTGGGTGAGTTCACAGTGGTGCACTCCCTTTTCCTCGTCGTAATATGGCGTGGTTCTCTGTGTCCTCTCACATGTGGCTACTAGTAAGCAAAGACGGTGTTTCTACTGGGGACTAATACTAACTTTAGCTTCTGATATGTTCTTGTAATTATGTCAAGCATAAGAAATGTCACATCTGTAAGGACTTTGAGAGCATTTCTGAGCTACAAAGGCATTAATTCTATTAATTCCATCTCAGGCTCTCACCATATTTTTCTTGGGAATAGCTTGTTTTAGTCTGAATTCCCACTCTTAGCTTTGCAAAATTCCCTGTTATTTCAGGTGGTGTCTGTCTAGTTCTGTAGAGACTGCGTCAATAACATACTGTATTTTGCATGGAGCAGGGCATCTTTTCTCCTATTCTCAGGTCTTTACTACCCAACTCATCTCAATACTTGGCACTTGCAAGTGTTCTGAGAATCCTGACATCCTTGCTTGATATAAGGCGTGCCTTATACCTTCTCCATACTGTTTCTGCAATCTTTCTTCTCTGTAGAACTGTACTGGCAGAAGCTTTCGTATTTGGAGGTACTAAAGCTGTTTTAGCTATAAAATCATTTCCTGCTTTCGATCACTGAGCAGGAGATAGACTTCTTACTTGTGTGTGCCTGTTTCTAACATCTTCTAAAGTGCTATTCAAGTTTTAAGAAAATAAATAGGGCAAAGGCTGAAACTGGAAAATGATAAAAGAGACTGGAGATGTTCTCTGAATCTTAGTTGATTTGCATTATATACCAAATCAGTTGCTTTATGGTTTGGGGCATTGCTTTCCTGAGTTGTATTTTTGCCTGGTTTTGAGATGAATATTCCATTGAGTATCAATAGAACATACTGCAGAATCTGCAGAGTGAGAGTTTTGAAAAGCTGATCAGCTATAGAAAACATTCTGAGTTGCTTCCTGTTTGGGAAAGAAAATGATCTTCTTGTGAAAAGATTAGTGTAATTATTAAGACGTAGATTGGAACTGGAGGTCTTGAGAATTTAAAGGATTTTTTTTCCAAGTCTGTGGAGTGGTCCACCTTTAATTGATAATATTTTATATGCTCTAGTACATTATGAAAATATTCAAACCCTTCATGGCAAATTGTTGAGTCATACCATCTTGTTTGGAGAAAAACCATATTTAATTCAAAAGCAATAGTCAGTGGTTGTCTGCTTCTGCCCTTGTTTCTTAGACATGAGACATAAAGTGCAATAAAGCAATGTAATTTCTCAGTGCTGAAGTTTTCAGAACAGATGGAAGATTACAACTTTGTCTTTTAAAGGGTATTTAAAATGACCCGTGATGATTCTAATTTCTAAGTATGGAACAAATCTCTGTGTGGTGGAGGCAAACAAGAGACAAAAAGGTTGGGGATGTTGATTTATTTTAAGTCATATTTTTTAAGTGGCAGTTTTCAGAATGACGTAGAAACTCTTGAGTTTTCAGGTAGCAAGCAGATTGCTACAGAAATGTCTCTTTAAAATGGGCGATGAGCCCATGAATTATATTTGGCTTTTTTTAATAAAATAAAATGAAGTTGCTAGAATGTGTTGGTTAAACTTCCCTGAGCTTTCTGAGAACTTTTCTGATTTTGCATATAGTATTTGCTGAGTATATGTAGTGTGAGCTGCTATAGAACTGTTTGGAGTGTCTACCTCCTGTGGTTACTTTGGTCATCGTAAGGGAGGAAGGTGGGAATTGTTTGGAGCAGGGGATTCTTCACTTGTGCTGATGTTCTCGGTGTTAACAGTGCCCTTAGGACACCCGTAATGGTGCTGGCTGCAATTCAAAGACTTTCAGTTTCTGCCGAGGTGTTTCTAGCAACATGGCAATCCAAGAGTTGACAATGGAAGCTTAGTACATGCACACACACACGCACACAAAAACAGTATCCCTTGGTAAAGTGCTATTAATTTAAGGATTTGTTATTTGTTTTTCATTTTATGCCTTCAGGCCAGTTGTAGACTAAAGGACTTTAAATTATGTGAAACTGTTGAGTCATCTGGGGATTACTTCCTGATCGTTGTTGTTGTTGTATGCAAAGATATTTAAAAGGATTGCAAAAAAAAAAAAAATAGGAGGAGCAACAAATAAACTTAGGAGGCAGCCAGGAATTTTCTTTAATGTGGGAAGTAATACTTACAGGAGATGGAGCAGAGCCTTTATCTCTTGCTTCAGAGCAGAGCATGATTATTAGTTCTGCAGCTGTCTTCATGGTCATACAGGTCATTTTGCATTTTAGAATTCTTAATTTTGGAAACAGGATTTGCTTCTACAATCAAACAGGACTTTGCTTTGTTTGAATGGATTCAGTGCACTTTTATTCCAACTTGGTTCGTTTTGTTTTTTAAGATGCTGTTATGTTAAGCATATCTGTTCACAAAAATACTGTATTTTAGAAATTGGTGCCAAATTTTCAGAAAAGATTATTACTTATAAACTGTTAGAGAGCTTTGTTGTGCAATGAACCCTTTAAGAAGGATGCTGAAAACTGAGGGAGCTCAGAGTAGAGGTGGATTATTTTTTGTCAAGAAAACATGCATTATGGTGAAAAACTTAAGGAGCTCAGGTTCTGTAGCTTCTCTGGAAAAGTTTATGGCTTAGAAATCAGACAGAAGTATTCAACTAAGTATTCATTCTAGTACAAAGAAGCATGATAAGAGCTGGAGACCAGAAAGGTTGAAATTGGAAAGCAGGTGAATGTTTTTTGACAATTAACCATTCAAATGGTTTGCTTAATAGATGCAGTACCTTTACAGCTACTTATAGCCTTTATTCTTTGTATAGTATATAGGTAGAAGATAAGCAGTAACGGAGGTGCAAGTTAAAGGGCAGAAATTGCTAAGGAATTTTTTAGGGTTTGCTCTCTAAGATGACTAATGTTTCACAATTTCTTCTAGCATCCGCTAAAAGTGATAGAACTGTTGACTGCTTATTTGGGGGTTAAAGGAAGAACTGTGCATTTTGAATTGCCAGTCTGGATTAATAAATGGGGTGTGTTTGCTTGCTTTGTATTTACCACTGGCCTCTCCAAGGCTGCTTATGATAGAGTTCTGGTTTAGGAATTTTCAAATAAATCCTAGGCAGTTAAGTATTAGACTTTTGAGTTATTTTAAGGAAATGTAGGCACTTGATTTTCATAGGCTTCTTGGAAAATCCCTTTTTTCCTTTCTTTGGTTAATATTTAGTCACACAGAAAATAAATCATATTATTTAAGTTTTCATAAATTTAACTCTTATCTCCTCTTGATATGAGATCAACCAGCAATAGTGTTGGTTTTTAACTAGAAATCTAATCGATTTATGCATTCAAAGCAAACAACAAATCAGTCTGAGTAGTGAAGAGTATAAAATAATGATAGTTCTATTTTCAGCACCCAGTGACGCTTGATAGTTTTGTAAGTGTAGGTCTGCCATTGCTTCTGTGTCGAGGATGTTTATATGGTTTGCTACTGAGTGAAGAGCTTTTCCCTCTTGCTGCCTACTCCAAGGTGCAGATGTTGCCCTGTGCACAGTTTGTGTCATGCATTCAGGTTGGAGGCCAGGGAAGAGGTTTTGTATCTCATCAACTTTTTATGCAACCTGATTTTACAACTCAGATCTTTGATCTTTGTCTTACTGTAGTGCTAGTCTTGCATGATTTTAAGCTGCAAATAAATTCATGTCCCCAGGCATGTGTTTCTTCTATGCATGTATGGAAGCTAGACCTTTGGAAAACAGTAACTCTTTCTTCAAACTCCGTTTGAAAGAAGGAAAAAGCAAATGACAAAGTCAAAAGAAAGGTGTAACGTAGCAGAGAACTTTTTTTTTTTTTTAAAAGTGATTCTGTTTTGTAGTAATGACAAATGGCTCATACAGAGTGCTTATACAGATGGCTTATGCAGAGTTGTGCAAGTTTGGTCAGATTTGCACCTGAAATGCCTGACACTTGCCCGGCAGTTAATGCTAAAACTCTCCTTAATGTTAATGGCTTCAGAATCCAACTTTAATAGAAGTCAATATGATGAGGGGATAACAGCAAGTTGATGATAGCAGGTGCGTTGTTTTATTATGAAGGGAAACTATAATTTGAAAAGGATATTGACATTCCTACTGTAAGAAACGGAAGAGTAGATGAGTTTCTTCTTTTGAACAAATCATGTTGTATCAAAGATTGGAAGAGGAACCTTTTGTACAGCTGTGGTAGGTGGATGAAATTTAAGTAAATGGGGAGGTATTTTTTTCCCTTTCCAAATACCCAAGGAGAGAGAGAGAGAGAAGGGAGCACTCAAGTCCTACCAAAGATCCAGGCAGGAAGGTAAAAGTACAAGTGCTCTGTGTGCCTTAGAAATGTTCTTCTGTGAGCTAGTGTGAGTTTATTTTGTAATTTGGGGACAGCTGACAGTTTAGGTTTGGCTTGCATCTGCTAGCAGGGCAAAGAAAGAATTACAAGAAAAAATCCTTTCCTCCTTTAATGCAACCTCTGGAGGATATAAATAGTTTATAAAAATATCAAGACTTGAATTATCATGTGAGGTGACTATGGCAGAAAGCCCTGAAGGATAATCTTGTGATTGATACTGGGAAGGAAAAGAAACAGGAGTTGTTCAGAAGCAGTGTTATATTTTTCATGAATAAATGCAGTGTGGCTGTAATGGGACTGAGACAGATGTGTTGGTTTTAAATAATCTGCTTCTCACTTTCTTGAGAAAACAACAACAAAAAAAGGGACTTTAGGGTGCTCAGTGAGGAAGTACTTCATTTCTTTAGTGGCTTATGGGTGTTAAAATGCAGTCCCATGTTCTGGCTTTAACAATAGTGTGAGCTTCAGGTGATAAAGGCACAGAGCTGTGGTATTAAAGCTCATTTCATGAGACAGGTTAAAGATCATCCTATCCAATTTCTAGTGCAGGTCCAAATGTGACAAGTATCTGTGTGCAAAGCTGAGGTAGGTCTTTTGCCATTGCTATTGCTGGGATATCTTTAGCCATTTGAAGGATGACGTATTTGTGTGCTTGTGACCTGTGCAAATATTTAGAATACAAAGCGTGGCTATGCTTGGTCTGCAGTGCACACTTGTAGGACTAGAAATAACCTTGCAATTCCTCTGCTGAAATGATACACTTGGGAGGGGACGTTAAGGCAAGTCAGAAACAACTGACATTTAGGTGAGCTGATTCTTTAATGCACAAAAGTTGATGCAAAACACAGAGGGATAGAAGAAAGTCTTGTACAGATGCCATGCAGCCACAGTAGTTTAGAGATGTCTAATCATTTAGCATTTTACCTTATTTTGGTCAGCAGAGCCCTAGAGGTGGGTTGGGAAAACGCATCATGTCCATGAAGAGGAAAAGAAAGCCGGTCCTGTGTCGGAATGGTCTTTCGTTGCGAGATGTGTTATTTGAATCTGAACCTTGTATTTTGAAGGATGGTCTTCTAAACTGTCCCTGACCACCTCACCGGATCTGCCTAAGTACAGCAGGACTGATACTCTAGTAGCTTTCTCTGCAGTGTGTGTAATGGTTGTCACATATCTCAGGTCTGATCAGATTTTGTGTTAAAGACGAGGGATGTCTATGGCTATCCTGTGCATGCAGCTGTCATAAGTCATCATTACTATCTTCCTAGATCTGGCTTTGTGCCTGATAACGTTTAAGTTTCTTTTTAAGTATAAAAGGAGAAAGGGGAAGCTGGGAAATAAATTCTCCAGGACTTGAAAACAGTAAAAAAGAAATTGCCCTCTTTTCAGTGGAAACTGTCTATCTAGACCTTTCAAAGAAAATAAAGTCAGAACTTTTTGTTGAACATCTAGAGATACCTAAATCCATGGTTATCTGCAAAAATAATCTGTATTCTTTTTATGAAGCCTGAGCATTTTATATGCCCTTGTTGTGTCTTCAACTAAAGGATAAAATATTACTCTAGATAATCACTCTAAGCAAGATCATGGAAATTTTTTTCCAAAGCTGTAAATATGCCCTAATGGTGCAAACATACCCTAATGTTGATGACAGATACTTTAATACTGAGTTGGCAAAGAAGAGATGACAAATACTTGCATTCTGTTTTTATTTTCATTTAATTCTGTGGAAATTAATGGATGGGAATGTCCAATACAATATGATAATTTACTTTGTCTTGCTGATATATACTTCAGGGCTTCTACTAACGATGACAAATGTTAATGCACACACACAAACTATTGCACAGTGTAATCTGATACACTTCATTTTCCATTATATTTGTATATAGTGGCTGCAATTTTGGTTCAGATGTGTGGATTCTCAAACTTTAAATTTTTCATAGCAAAAGTTTTTTTTCTAGTATCTTTTCTTTAAAGTGTGTCTGTCTTTTCTAATTTAAATATTGCCCCTGTTCCCGCACTTGGGATTGCCTTCTGATTTCAAAATGGTACAGACTCTGCGTCCTGTTTTGGGGAATAAGTAGCGAAGGCTGCTATACTAATCCAGAAAAAATGAAGCAGTTTATTTATAGAGTATCTCCACGATGGCAGGAATAAATGTCAGTGCTTCTTGGTGTGTATTTAATTCTGGAGAATCTCTGTTTTAGTGAAATGAGTTCAAACACAAACACTAAATTTCATCTCTTAAAACCAGTGAAAATATTCGATGTGAGTTACAAGGCAAAATGGAGCATAAAGAAAGGACAAGAACGTAATACAATTCTAGATATTTCAAGAGTCAGTAAGATGAATTAACATTGTTTAATATATATGAAGACAGACTGGAATGTTGTCTAATCAAAGAATAGCTCTCTTGGTATAACAGAAATTTCAGAGGAAATTATTTTTGATGTAGAATACATGTAGTAAAACAGGGATCACTGAGTAATAGATACCCATAACAGGGAAGTGGCAGTTTAGTGAGAGACATATTTCATCTTTAAATTAACATACATCTTTTATTAACCTGATGAAAATAAATAATTGTAAAAGGAAATTGTGTACTTTGGGCAAACTCATCAAAAGTACTAAAACTAATTGTCCTGTGATAAAGTCTGCAGTGAATATAGTTTTTACTCAGTACTATATTCTCTATTTTTTCCTATACTGCCCCCTCAAAGGGGGAAAAGAAAACCCTGAACAAAATATTTTTAGTATGATTTTAATAGTTTCTTGGAAGAAAAAGTTGAAGCAACCTGACACGCTTCAGTTCCTTGCCAAATTGCACAAAGTAAGATGCAACTCCTTATTTTTCTCCCCCATTGCAGCTTTCACAGGACAGGTCTGTTATTTTAGCTTCCATGTACCGAGGGGAGAGCTGTTCTGAATTAGTGCACCTTCTCCTGTAGTTTGGAAGTAGGGAAATAGAGGGGCTAAAGTTCTGCAAGTTTTCAGTAAAATTGTTGGGGGCTTGGGGGTTTGAATTTTTTTCTTCCCTACAAAGCACTTGTAAAAGGAGAGGGGGGAAAAAAAATAAAGGGTGGCGGGGGGGCGGTGGTATTTGGAGAAAGGCCTCTGGGGAGTGGTTTTTTTGTTTGCTTTCCATTTTTTTTCTTTCCACTTTTTCTTTACTGGTGATAGCTTGGCTGCATGTACGGTGTAGATCAGGTATGACAGATTCCAGTAATACTGGTATAGGTGAACATGGATTTTCACTTGAATCATTTGTCTTGCTCTGTGTAGTGGCATAAACAGGTAGGACTGTGACTGTCTGAAGAAAATTTCCAAACAAATTTAAATCATTCTGTCCTTAATATTTGTGGACAATCTATTAAAAATGATGTATTAGATTATTAAACTTCATTATAAAACAAAATTTCAAAAGTCTTGGAGAGTATTGAATATTTTTGAGTTTAAGATGTATGGCTATTTTGCAGTTTTAATGCCCAGTGATTTCTTACAACTTGGATAAATCAGTTGTAAAATCTCCTGCTTCCAGAGCAGAACCACAGTGAGGCATCCACTTGCCAAGTCAAATTCGGAAATATTTCTTAAAAATTGGCAAAAAGAATTATCTGGGCCCAGCTTGAAAGCAGCAACAGCACCTTTATTTAAAAAAATAATTAGCATGATGAGCTAAACAGTCCTGTCCTGAGCTGCAAGGTGAAGACAGGACCATCTCTTATGTTTCAATACAGCTGACAGATTCCAGTAAACTAAATAGGTAGTAAAGTGATGCATGTTCAAGAGCTAATCCTTCAACTGCTTTTTATGTTTCCACAAGGCTTTCCTTACCATGAGTTAGTGTGCTCACTGATGAAAGCCCATGAAGGACCTGGTTTAATTGCATCCAAAGGTTTCCATTA